TTGTCTGCCTTCTTGCCTAGTAAATCAGCAAAACGGTTACGTTTTGATGTGGTAACCTCTAAACCATCTTAAATTAATCACATTATTGATATATGATCCTTCGGCCTAAGCTACGTGACATTCTAGTACTAACCCTGAGTAAATTATTAATGGTCTGTCCAGCGTGAGTAGTTCTTGTCTGCTATCTCTATGTTTGATACTGTTTATTTTAACTTCTTTTGATGCTATGAGTATCCCGTGAGCTCTATTTGAACTGCACTGAAATTATTGCTCAGAGTACATTTTATATTTAGGTTTAACGATGGGTACTGTCACATCCTAAGCCTATTTTTCTTTTTGAATCGTCGGTGTAGATATGAATTTTACCCTTATAACTTTATATGGCTTATGGAAGATATATCTCGCTGAGATGTGGTTCATGTTCGTTTGAACAAATGGAAGCGTATCGAGTGCCTCCCGTCAAAAGCGACGTTTTGCCAGATCCTACATCAGGTTCTATTCCAATCGTGCGAAGTCGTGTCATTGTCATCAAAGCAACCTGTTTGATTAAAATATCAGTGAGTGAGATTGAGAATGACTTCTACGGCTCCGGTTGATAGGTACAGACAATCGATTGTTCGAGGAATAGCACAAATATAGTATACAGGGTGATTCAAAGTTAATACTTTTTTAAATGTGTATTCATTATAATAAACAATTTAAAAAAATCACAAGGATTTAGGTCTGGTAGCCATGCAACTGGCCCATTTCAACGGATACACTTATTCTGAAAAGTAATGTTTTAAAACTATCGTACTTTCCTACTAATGATAGACTCAGATTTATATATTTTAATACGCAACTTTCTTTGTTTCGTGGCCACCGAGCTAAATCATTGGATTTTTCGTTTTTTTTTTCTTATACTTATTTATTTTTGACTTCTTTTGAAAAGGTTAATTATTTAAAAATGAAATTTACTTGAATAGTTATGTATTTAAAAAAGTTATGTATATAAAGAAGAAATTTATTTTAAAAAGTAATTTATTTGAAAAGTTATTTATTTGAAAAAGTTATTTATTTGAAATATTTATTTATTTGAACAATTTAATAATTTGAAAAAGTTATTTATTTAAAAAATTAAGTTAAGCCTGAAACGGCGCTTGGCCCGAATTGGCACATCAAACTGCCGTCTAGGAATCTCGACAGTAAATGTCGTAATGGTATAGAGTTAGGGCATTTGTGTACAGAACAAAGACATCTGGGTTCGAAACCCACCGACTATAGGCTTTTTTCAAATCTCCAAGTAATTGTTTTTACCTTTGTGGTTCGTAGATGGCCTTAATAATTCGTAGGGGGATTTTTGAGATTTTTTTAAGAATTTTCAAATTATTTCTACAAATAATTTCAGATAATTCTGACCTTTCGGATTTCTATTTGCGATTTACGATATATTCAATTCACAATTTTTGTACTTAGGTTTACGTCGCTTAACGTACATTAAAAACCTAACTCACGCAGACGAAGATATGAGCTTAGTATGCATCAATGCATTTCTCATACACACCGATGTTGTATAGAGGTATTTAAAGATTTGAGAACGAGTCTGAAAAGGCGCTTGGCCCAAATTAACACATCATACTGCTGTCTTTGTGTACAGAACAAAGATGTCTGGGTTCGAGTTCCAGCAACGAAAGGCTTTTTTCAAATCTCCAAGTATTTGTTTTTACCTTTGGGGTTCGGAGATAGTATTAATAATTCGTAGGGGGATTTTGAGATTTGTTTCCGAATTTTCAAATTATTTCTGATTAAGTTATTTATTTGAAAAAGTTATTAACCTATTCCAAAACTTTGAAAATGTATAGAATTTACATAAGTAATGTCAGAAATTAGCTGATGGCCACTGAAATATCGAAACTCGTAGAAAAATATTTCAACTAAATTGTAACATCTTTCTGCAAATTGATAGTCTGTCACAATCGAAAAATCAAAAACTTGTAAAAGTTATAATTTAGGCAACACCGCCGGGATTCTAATAAACTGTGTGATATATATCTTGTTAAATATACACCACCGAAACAATAAAATATTACAATTTTATTTTATTTCCAAGTCCTGACCCCTCCCGCACAACCAGGCTTTGACTGGTCTATGTGATGTGATGGGCTTCGTGATGATAGCCTGGCATATATATATATATATATATATATATATATATATATATATATATATATATATATATGCAAGGCTATCATCACGAAGCCCATCATAAAGCCAATTATGATGGCTTAGTCTTTGCCGACTAGTCAGGAAGTAAATTAGGAAATTTTTGGGGAATTTGGCAAAAATATTTCAAGTGTACTCTTCTAAATTTATTCCGAGCTTTCGAGCATGGTTATGCTTATTTTCAAGCTACAAAAGTTATTACCAGGCGTTCAAAAAAATTGTTAATTTGATTAAAAGGTTAAACTTACAACTCACTGAGAATGGTGTGTAACGGTAGTCATTTGATTAAAAATATTAGACATGACAATGTAGAAAAACGAAAACTAGTTTTAAAAACACAGATACTTAATACATTTTATTTTAAATTAATTATAGAGCAACATCGATGTTGACTAGATCAAGGTGGGTAACCTACAAGTGGTTCACAACGTGTTTTTGAAACGCGCGAAAAATGAAGTATTAAGTCATTTGTCAATCATCAATCAAACCTGTCATTGGCAAAAAAGAAGAACACTTTGTGGCCTATGTTACCTTTGCACAAAGGGTAAAATAATCTGTCAGAGAAAATCCTGACAGATGATTAACATATAAGGAAACAAAATTATATTTTTGTGTTTTAATTATTATCTGAATATTGAATGTACGGAGAAAATTATAATTTGTTTTAAAAAATGTCACTAATCATGCAGGCGATGTTGCTCTCTGAGTAAAGAGCACAATACCAATTTTCGAGTTGCTATCCCCTCGCCCTGGATCATACTATTCACTCACCTGACAATATCACGAGCAGAGTTAGTGCATGTAGTTTTAATAGCAAAAATAAAATAAGTGTTAGACGCAGGTCTCAAGATGGTCTTGGAGGTTTCGTAATGCTTTAACATAACTAAAGTGGTCAATTAAACGTTTTTTGGAATGTTATTTTTATTTCAAGTATATTTACTACTTGTAGACGGTTAAGTTAACGCAACAATGTCGTAGTTTAACTAAAGTAAGACGACGTTGTCTGGAGGTTTAGAGAGCGTCGTTTTATAAATAGAGAGGTATTGCAAATTTCTATAACGTCAGTCACTAATAGTGACAACGTAATTAGAGGTAAATAAATTCCATGCTAAAATACGACTTATTGCAAACCTGATTTTTTGACATTAGAGTCATTGTCCTTATCTTAGAGCATATAAGAGCTCTAAGGTCCTTATACATATTTCTAACCTCATTTTAAACATTTTAAATTACAGTTCAATTTTTTTGTTGTCTATAATACTACATATTATTGAAAAGGCATTAAAAATTATAATTTTAGAAGGTTTAGACGACAATAATATTAAATATTGAATATTAAAAAATTTCGAACGTGTACGAATGTCAACGATTGCACCTGAAAGCTACTACCTGCTGCCCTTGAACATCCACAATTAAGGACAGGCACAATCTTTAATAAAGGCAGTTTAAGAACATAAACGATCTGTGCATGCTTAGATGTCAAAATAGGAGCGGCACTAATAGTGATTGGCATTAGTGAACTTGCAATAACTCTCTAATGCCTAGTTTCTACACCAAGTACAATGTTAATTTTTGTGTCTTATCGTCGGTTACCGTCGCCAAAATGCTACTGAGAAAGTTTGAAATGATTTCTGATAACTGTGGTATGTGACGGACTCTTAACCAAACAAAACTATTCTTCACACTATCTCCAACTTGCACTCATGTTAAAATAAAACACGTATGCAAATGATAGAAATCTGAAAAATCTGAAAAATATTTGGGTGACATGTAACTGCAAAAATTCGTTCAGGAGCATATAGCAGCAATATGGGACCTGTCTGAGTATTTGTTTAGTACTTGTCCAATAAAGCCAGACACGACACTAGACATTAAGTGTTCCGCAAATTATGCTCGGGTGGCACAAAATTGATCGAAAAACATTTAATCGAATTGGAAATTTGATCGAAAAAACATTTTATTGAATGGAATTTGATCGAAAATACATTTGATCGAACAACATTTGATTGAAGATATATTTTATCGAAAAGACAATAGATCGAAAGGACAATATATCGAAAATCAACATTTAAAATCGTAAAATATCAAAAAATCAAACGATACCATGAAACCGTCCGTCTAGTCCCTACTACCGGAGAAACTTAACTCAGCGACTATCAAAATTAGGTACTAATGGCAAATTTTTAGAATAATCTTAAGCGATAGCTACCTCGTTTACCAAATTTTCATCCTTACAATACTGTTGATTTAAAAATTAATTTGCACAATATATGAATTGCAATAAGGTCGAATTGTCTCCAATGGGACATTTAAGATAAATTATTTTAGGTGTTTTTATATAAAAATTTTAACTAATTTACCCAACCTGTGCGGCCTGGAGCCCTCGAGGGTTGCGTCGCAAAAAAAATTATACAAAAAGGGAATAATAAAAAATCTAACTAATTTAACTAACTTGTGTGGCCTGGGGCAATTTTACTGATTGATTTGACACAGGTTAGGTAATTTAGTAAATAAAGTTTTTTTTATAAAAAAATTTAACTTACTTACCCAACCTGTGCGATCTCTAGTCGTCGCGGTTTGCCTCGCAAAAAAAAATATAAAAAAGTAAGGTATGTTAGTAATTTTTTTTTTTAGTTTTTTATTTTTTGTATATTTGTTTTTGCAAAGCATCAAATGTTCTCGATCAAATGTATTCGATCAAATATTTTCGATCAATTTTGTGCCACCCATTATGCTCAGCCCTGTATATGTTCAATAATTAAATGTACCAAAAATATATAAAATTTATTTTTTTTTAGGTCTGTTAATATCGATGCCATTCCTATTCCTAACATTCTTGGTTTATGCAGTATTACCCAAACGGAACTTACATCGACGAGCTTTAATGTGTTATGTTATTTGCGCTCTCGGAGGTAATATTACCTTGATTATAGTAAATTTGGTTCCTTACAAACTTCCAGATGTTCCCTGTCATCTTCTAGGTAATAAATAGTTTATTTAGAAATAAAATTAGTTATTTTTATACTGTCATGCATGATAAAATTTAATAAAGGACACATATTTGAATTAAAAATTACTATGGATCGAATTGGACCAAACAAAATACAAGGTATTTAATTAAATAACGATTTTGCTGATCACCAGTATCCGTCTTTAAAATCAATTTAGATTAGAGGTAGAGTACTGAGTGGCCATACGAAAGGTTCGAGGTTCAAGTTCAGGATTGAAGAATAATTAAAAAATGTTTTTCAATTTTGTTTTATTTTATAAATTAGTAAAAGTAATAAATTATTTTTAAAATGTCATTTTATCTTAATAACATCAAAATTAATTTTTTAAATTTGTAGATTTTCATTAATGAGTTGTGGAAAAATACTGAACAAATCGAGTGAATTGCCCATCATATTCACTCCGGTTTCACAAACTACTATTATCCATCAAATATACATAAGTTTTGTGATGAAAAATTGTGTAAAAATTGTGCCATCAAAAACACAGTGTCGTGCAGATTTCACTGGATAAAACTGTTACAGGTTTAAATTAACTAAGATATAAAATAGTAATTATTATTAAACTCAATTAGTTAGTAATCTTAAGAACCTAATATTTAGAAGTTACCAGGGGCGGTTTCTCCATTGGTTCATTTGTGCAGTGAACACCCAGTTAAATTTCATGAGGGCACATTATTTTAAAATCACATATAAATAACTTAATAATATAAATTAACTTTAATATATTTATTATTTTCGTACGTATTAATTTCTTTTTTGGTACCCCACTGCGCTCAGGCCGATCGCGTCTATCGGTTCAATAAATACCCAAGCATCTTCCAGGCGGAAATTCATGCCATCGAGAAGTGTATCCAGTTTAACATCGCGAGAAACCATCATAGACAAGAGATTATCATCATGTCCGCTAGTCAAGCAGCCATCAAAGCGCTGAGCTCTTACGTAGTCAGCTCAAAAATGGTCTGGAGATGCCTAGAACAATAAAATGAGCTAGGCGAGAAGAATAGAAGTACTCTCACTTGGGTCCCGGGACATAACGGGATACAGGGTAACGATATTGCAAGGAAAGGGGCTCAAACACCCTTTGTAGGACCTGAGCCGTTCTGCGGTATCAGCAGTAACTTAATATTAGGAGAGATTAAAAAAGAATTGGACAGTAGAAAAACCGATAATTGGAACAATCTCTTCGGGCTGAGACAGGCCAAGATACTTCTGGGTGAATATAACCAGAAAATATCGGAAGCCTGCATCTGCCTGAGCAAGAAAAGGCTATGTATTGTAACAAGGATCCTTACCAGGCATTGCCGACTAAAAGGACACCTAAGTAAACTCAGAGTAGTAGAGGATAGTGAGTGCAGATTCTGTGAGAAGGAGGACGAAACCTCCATTCACATCCTAACTAAATGTATAGCACTCCAGAATCCAAGGGCACTATATCTAGGAGGATATCAAATAGAAGAGGGAGATTTACCTAACTTGAATCCACTTCAAATCCTATACTTCCTTGAGAAAATAGGATTGGAAGGGTCGTTATAGGCATTGAGACATTTCCTTAGTGCATTGGCGACAAAAGGGGGCACAATAGATCTTTTAGGTCGCAGTGTATTAACATCCCATTCTCAACATAACATATCATCGGTTCAATATGTCTAGTGAACGCGAGAGGTGTCTGAGAATGAATGTTAAAAAAAAAGGTTAATAGATCCGAGTGTGCCTGCTTGAAACTACGCTATTTTTAGCATTATTTTGTGCATCACACGTAGATTACGTCACGACAGTTAACTTCGCTTGGTCTAACGATTAGGTATTGTGCTTGGTCTAGGTCACTCTGAAAGGGAGTCTTTACTTCAACGTTGCCACATTTGGTAGATTTCTGCTTTTTCTGGTAGTTTTCTGCTTTTTTGATTCTTTTTGATTTTTTTTGATTCTTTTTGATTCTTTTTGATTCTTTTTGATTCTTTTTGATTCTTTTTGATTCTTTTTGATTCTTTTTGATTCTTTTTGATTCTTTTTGATTCTTTTTGATTCTTTTTGATTCTTTTTGATTCTTTTTGATTCTTTTTGATTCTTTTTGATTCTTTTTGATTCTTTTTGATTCTTTTTGATTCTTTTTGATTCTTTTTGATTCTTTTTGATTCTTTTTGATTCTTTTTGATTCTTTTTGATTCTTTTTGATTCTTTTTGATTCTTTTTGATTCTTTTTGATTCTTTTTGATTCTTTTTGATTCTTTTTGATTCTTTTTGATTCTTTTTGATTCTTTTTGATTCTTTTTGATTCTTTTTGATTCTTTTTGATTCTTTTTGATTCTTTTTGATTCTTTTTGATTCTTTTTGATTCTTTTTGATTCTTTTTGATTCTTTTTGATTCTTTTTGATTCTTTTTGATTCTTTTTGATTCTTTTTGATTCTTTTTGATTCTTTTTGATTCTTTTTGATTCTTTTTGATTCTTTTTGATTCTTTTTGATTCTTTTTGATTCTTTTTGATTCTTTTTGATTCTTTTTGATTCTTTTTGATTCTTTTTGATTCTTTTTGATTCTTTTTGATTCTTTTTGATTCTTTTTGATTCTTTTTGATTCTTTTTGATTCTTTTTGATTCTTTTTGATTCTTTTTGATTCTTTTTGATTCTTTTTGATTCTTTTTGATTCTTTTTGATTCTTTTTGATTCTTTTTTGATTCTTTTTGATTCTTTTTGATTCTTTTTGATTCTTTTTGATTCTTTTTGATTCTTTTTGATTCTTTTTGATTCTTTTTGATTCTTTTTGATTCTTTTTGATTCTTTTTGATTCTTTTTGATTCTTTTTGATTCTTTTTAATTCTTTTTGATTCTTTTTGATTCTTTTTGATTCTTTTTGATTCTTTTTGATTCTTTTTGATTTCTTTTTTAGATGGACAAGTTCTACGAAAATGTCACGAGTTTCAGATGAAATAAAAACGCTAACTCGCTTCAAAACCTGGACATAGACATAAAATAAATACAAAAATCTACAAAACTGTGTCCCTATAGGTTTTTTGGGTTACTGGTTACGAATATAATGTCAAAAAAAACAAAATTCAAAATGGCGGATCCAATATGGTGGTTCAAAAATGATAAATTTAACGGATTTGTATGTAATTTTGGATATATGATATTTTGACGTCATTGATTACGAATTAGACATTAAAATTTAAAAATTCAAAATGGTGGATTCAAGATGGCGGATCAAAAAAAGTAAAATTTAGTAGATTTAAATAAAAATTTGGATATATTGTATTTTGAGGACACTGATTACGAATTAGTCATCAGAATTGTAAAATTCAAAATAGCGGATCTAATATGGCGGATAAAAAATATTCGTTGCGCGAATTCGTCTAAAACTTTGTATTTAAGGTTAATAAATGTGCATTAAATGTTGGAATTTAAACTTTTTATTACCTATTTACATGATTATTAAAAATCGTAGTCGCTAACATCTATTTCGCTATCATGAGGGTCGCTATCGGATTGTCCAGCCAACTCTTATTCGTAACCTCGAATTTGTCGCGTTTCCATTGAGTCTGATTCCACCTTGTTGACAATTTCGTCTAAGTTAATCGCTTTTTTTTAGGCAGCAGCTGTTATCTGAAAAGGACTGTCTACGTCTATACACAATTTTGACTGTACACCCGCGACTTGCCTGTCGGTCCCTTCTGCCAGTATATCTCTGACAAATTCAAATATTTTATTTCGGATATAGGCCTTCGAAGTGGAAGTATATGCTAAAAAAGAAATCAGTCCAAAGTTCATCACAGAATTATTAAAATTAAATGCTCAACAATGAATTTAAATTAATTAATGATTTAATTATTATATTCCCAGACAGTACACGACATCTTAAAGACGTCTGTTTTATGTCGTAGTTATGACTGAACGCCTAAAGACTGAAGACCTAAAAAAGACGTTTTAACGACGTCTTTATAAAGACTTCTTTTAGGACACATAAATAGACGTCTTAAAGACGTCTTTTAAATGCCTATCTATTTAAAAAATATAAAAAAGAATGGTAACATTAAAAAAGTACTGGAACTTACTTGTCGTTTCTAGTTTCATAAAATATAAATTTATTTTTAAATTTTTTTTAATAATTTACATAATTTACTTATTTTTTTTTTATTTATTCATTCACGAGCATTTGTTCATTAGAGTAAGTAAATATGCGTTAACAAAAATAATAATAATAATTAAATATAACTCTAAATAAATTTAACAATTAAAACATATTAAGACAAATTGAATTACGCGCTGTTTCAACTTGACCGGAATTTGGTTCAACGATCGAAATGAATGTTTTTATTATGCTTTGTCTTTTTTCAACAGTAGAATTTAAACAAGGACGTGTATCTGAATATGAGTATTATTGGGGTTCCGTGGTTCGTGGCGTTCTGCGTTGTCCTTTCGTTGTCATTTGTCGTTTATGTTGAAGATGAAAGCACAAGCAGAGAGGTTAGTTTTTGTTCGTTATTCGCAATGACATATATAGTATATATAGACTGCTTATCCATATGTAAATAAAGCGATGAAAAGCGGGTCGAACTGGGAGATGTTTTCTCTTTGTCTAGTACATGCAATGTTTGTGTTTTGTCTCAATTGTAAGTTCTCACTGGTAAACACACCTTATACAGAACCGGTTTAGAAGAAAGTTTAGTTTAATTGAAATTTTGTTGTCGCTGTCATTGCTCAGTCGAACATTTTTTTGAATTGTTCATTTTATTGAATTTTAATTATACTTATGTTCTGTTTTAAGTTTTTTTAATTAATTGAATATAAAAAATTGTTTTGTTTTTGAATTTAAATGGCGAATTGCTCTATAAACCTGCTCTATAAGATAAGCTATAGAAATATAAAAAGTAACATTTTATTTTTCACGTAAGTATCAATACAAGTAGTTACAAGGTAAATACATTTATGAATTATAATAATTATAATAATGATAATATTAATAACAAATTCTTTA